AACTCTTTCAGTGATTTCAATTTCATTCAGTTTTCTCTCTTTTTGTTCCTCAGAAATTTTCCAACGCGTACACCTCTACTCAATTCTCATTTTGCATAACCGGAAGTGTTTCAGAGGATTGAGAAGCGTTATTTTGAAGCACAATCTGAAATAGGTATTTAACTGTTTATGATTAAAAATTTGCACGCTTTCAGACAGCTCGACAGAGAAATCCTGTACTCAGAAGAGGTGTAGAGGGCTTTTGATACACGATTTTATATCTCTGGAATTTCATAAGTATATATTAATTATTGTCTAATTACAGTTATGACAGATATGCGGAAAATGACAGCTGACTTCCAGGATATATCGAAGAAAACAATACTTGCGCGATGTAACTACAGTTGCATCGTGTCTCATGTTTTAATCCAACAAGGATCGCGCTAAAAGCTTCTTTTCTTGATCCTGTTGTCTATATAAGAGCGTTTACACAAATCTCCATATTTGATATTTCTATTTCAGACTTTTAGCTTATATCGGAAAGTACATTGTCATTATCAAGTTTGTGGTACACACTCACTTGTTTTAATCATTTACGAATCAAGCCAGATCTGAAAACCAATCATCAGCACAAACCTTTACACTTTTATTTCTAAGTGAGTTTTTACTCCATATTAGTAGAAAAAATCAGCCTTGCAGGAAAGAAAACTGTAAAATTCGTGTAATCACACAGTTGTTTTGCTTCTAATCAATGCGCTATGACAATTTAGCTGATATATTTCAAAATTATAGGCAATGCGAAAAGAAACTTTTCTTTGATTGAGCTAATTTGGTGAATGTGGACGTAGTTGCGACTTAAGAGGAGACATTAAGACATCAGACATCAAAACCCACCTAATATTAGTCTTTTAGTTGTCCCCATAGTTATCTACAGCTCTCTCGCATTTTTTAAATTATAATATTATAAAGCGAACTCTACCGCTGTTGTTTTAGTGTTGGAAGCCCATATTTGTAGATTACTACATAGAAAAACTTCAATAAATTTCTTCGATTAATTTTCTCGGTTTATCGAATGATCTGAGAGTTCAATTATCATTTCTGAGAAAACAATCGAATTGTTCTTTTAGATTCTATTCTGTTCTATTTATTTCGTGCATTTCTATCGTCTTTTCCGTCATTTTTAGTATCGAGGAAATGTCTTCTAACGAGAACCGTTTTACTCCATTTCCATTATTCATTTCTCACGTCTTTCAGTAGAGATCTCTTTGCGGGTGTGGGTGTGGGTGTGAGAAAAGACGGGTTGAACACCCACACCCACACTCTTCCACACCCACACCCATATTATATGCATCAAGTTTATAATACAATACTTGATTTTTCACTTCCTTTCATTTTCGATGAACAAACAGAAATAAATATATATGCTTCAATCGGGAATCAAATCCAAGATACGATAACTGCTAAACCGAACCACTGCTCTTAGCATTGAGCTATCGAAGCACCACGAACATAATATTTTATTTCTGAATGATATTTAATCATCGAAAGTGAAAAATAGCGAAAAATAAAGTATTGGATTATAAAGTTATATATACTCCTTGTCTATCCTTACACATATATTTACCCTCTGTAAGAGGAGAATATTTACCATCATCTCTACACGGTTAGAAATAGCTTCTCTTTATCGATGTACCTCGTATACATCGTATCAACGTTAAATACTTTCGATGATTAAATATCATTCAGAAATAAAATATTATGTTCGTGGTGCTTCGATAGCTTAATGATTAGAGCACTTGTCTGGTTAACCAGTCGCCGTATGTTGGTTCGATTCCCGATCGAAGCATATATATTTATTTTCTGTTTGTTCATCGAAAGTAAACGGAAGTGAAAAATCAAGTATTGTATGATAATGTTATTTTAATTGTTATCATTGTTGTTATTATTATTGTTATAATTCTCATCATTAGGAACAATAATGCTATCCAACGTTTAACCAATTACTTGATTAGTGAAATGCAAATAAAAAGGGTGAAAGATTATTGCGAGTCTCCTCAGTGATACGCAGATTAAGCTCCCAGTAAAATGAAATTCCACTATCATAAAATATTGAATTAAAGATTCGAAGCTATATCATAGTCTAAGAGACTCACACATACATGAGAGATAGCCTGACATTTGCTCTGTCATAAACGGTAAAAACTTTTCTTCGATACCTCTTTTTCTCCGAAAGATTTTCATTGTTTTGGCCAATCCCTATTCGAAAAACCAGCATTTTTTTTTAAAAATTCAAAAATATTTTTCGCTTTTTTTTCAAAATGGTGGTTGAACGACGCATCTCTAGCAAAAGTCAACTGTAACACGACATCAGGTCAAACGTTTCTTGTTTTCTGAAAGAGCATAAAAAACTGCAGTGCCTATGAGAGCCCTTTTTTAAAAAACTTTTAAATTATTATATTAGTAAGCAATTTTATAATATAAGCGCCATTTCCTTTGAGAAGTTTTTCAGTCATTGAACTTGTCAGGCCTTTTTGCTTTCAAAAAGATAAGATTAAGAAACAAGGGTCCTCATAGGCACCGCATTCAGACATGCTCTTTCAAACAGAAAACAACCAAATATATTTAATAAATACTCACAGAGAATTTTTGGGACGCGATAAGCTATTTTTCGGCCCTTGTTTGGTTCATATCTATCGTATAGATCAGGGTTGGAGACTGAAAATTTTCTCATGGATGTCCTTTTACACTCCCAACATATTCTTAAAGTTTCATAGCATTTGAATGTTTTTGAGCTGAGACTGATTTTTAAAGGGAGGTGCTGGAGGGCACCCTTAACAAGCTTCAAAAGAATCGGCATTGATTTAAGCAATTTCTTATTGGAAATTTCCAACATTTCTTCATTTCCGTTGCACTGTCGTATTTACAGTAGTGGCCAAAAGTCCCGACCCTAGTCTAACTACACCAAAATAAGAGATAAGAGAAAAACTTTTTTATTATGTTATAGCTTATAGTACAATATGACCATCAATGTAATATAAAGTCTCCATCATTTTCAATAACTTCAGAAATTTGATTGTTCATACTATGTACAAGTTTAACAGCCAATTCTGATGACAAGGACTTCCATTCTCGTTTTATTGCCGAAACTAAAGATTGATAAGTTGGTAGTTTTTTCTTTCTCAATTTCATTTTGAGAAGTTGCCATACATTTTCTATTGGTGCAATGTCAGGAGACATTGACGGCCAATCAATTTTGTGGACATTGTTATTCATTCTCCAATTGGTTGCCAGTTTTGATGTGTGTTTAGGATCATTATCTTCTAGTAATTTCCACAATGATGGATCATGACCAAATTGTTTCCGTGCTGTAGGTAAGAGGCCATACTTGTAAATATGACACATTAAATCTGCATCTAGGTTCTCCTTGAAACATACGACCCGACCAAAACCTTGAGATGAAAAGCAGCCCCAAACATTGACCTTGATAGGATGCTTGACAGTTCGCACAACCTTCTTTTTTCCAGGCAAGTTCCAAACCAGTCCTTTTACGGAATTCATACGAATGGTGGTCTCGTCAGAAAAGATCACTTGGTTCCAATCCATAGCTCTCTGATCTTCAGCCCATTTTAAACGTTTCTCTCGGTGGTTGTCGGTGAGAAGTGGCTTTGACAAAGGTTTATTATATTTGGCTCCAGCTTCGTTCAAACGTCGTCGTACCGTTCTCTGGCTGATCTCGACTCCCTTTTTGTTCAACTGCTTCATAATGTCTTGACTTGTGACGAACGTTTGTTGTTCAGCAAGTGCAACAACTTGTTGATCCTGTTTTGAAGTTGTTGCACGTGGTCGTCCAGATCGAGGTGCATCGGTCAAATCTTTTGATTGCTTCCACCGCTTGAGCCAACGTTTCACCGCCGTTACGCCACAATGAACTGCCTTCGCTACAGCCGTATGGCTGAGCTTCGGTCCTAGCGGATGTTGAGATAAAAAGACAATTTCATACCGCTGGTACACCTCTAAGGCCATATTTAAATGTTATGTTATACCTAATGATTAATAATAGTGTAGGAGAAATGAAGAGTGGCTCTGATCAGGAGGTGATGTGTACTATATATTTATATAAAAATTATGGAAGGTTCTAGAATTTCTAGAAAGTTCTACTAGGGTCGGGACTTTTGGCCACTACTGTACCTTTACGTCGATGAGATATAAACTTTTCCATTATTTCGTTATTTAGAAGTGCCCTGTCAAATTATAAATAAAAAAAAGATAGTACGAAGTGCGTAGTTGCAGGTGATAATGTCGACACTGTAAAGATAGAATATGTTGGAAAATACCAAGTTGAGAGAACATCTGTAAATATTTGTTATAAAAGACAATCTGTTCTGTTAGTTTTACCCACTTTTTTCTTCTCATGCCGCTTAAGTTACCATATGTATATATACATACATGTTTCAGATATTTAGTTTCTAATATCCAACAAATAAATTCATCAAGCAATTATGGCTCTTTCATATGCGCCTCATAGCCACCATAGCGTTATGCAAGAGAACAACAATGAACAGGTTGACAATTTGGCATATGAGCTGATGAATAGTAACTTGCCGACTCGGCAATTAATTCCAGTTCAAGCATTGATGACTACTTATGAAGACTTACAACCTACTTTACAAACGATGGTTCATAATAATCCGTTAATAGAAAGAATTGTTAGTCATTCAAGAGCTGACTATGATACTATTGTTGATTCTGTGGATTCTCTAAGAAGTGTAGGTAGAATAGTTCGAACCCTTGAAGGAGAAACTTTATCACAAGAAGCTACTGAAGTAGTCAACACTGAAGGAAGCAGCTTAGTAAACAATATTTTCAACATTTACTCAAGAACTACAAGTGAAATGCAGCAAAATTTTCTTGAACTGAGAGCTGCTGTAGCAGACAATGAAAGAACAAGGGACGATCCAACAACTAACACATTGCTTCAACAGCAGCTCCAAATTACAGAGAATATCTCGAATGATCCACGAATGGCCTATCAACAAATACAGGAAGCATCGACGATTGGCAGTCAATTACGAGACCAAATTGAGAGACTGGAGCCAAATGAAAATGCTGCCGTACGAGTAGCGGCACGAGACAATTCTCGATATTTGAAATATGCTGTCGGCATCTTCTTCCTTGGTGCAGCTACTGTAGTTATGTGCATGGCACTTCCGTATTTAGCTACTGCTGTTAGTGGTGCATTGGCAAGCGTAACTACAACTGTTGGTGGCGAAACTATTGTCATGGCATCAGTTGCTATGGCCGTTGGTAGAAGTCAATCGTCTTAACTTCCTTTGGTATCACTACTAACTCTGACACGTATTGAAAATTCAAAACTAATTTCCGATGCCGCTTTTTGTATTTGTGTTATGTTATGTGATTTTCTTTTCTTTTTTTTTATTTAAGGGTGTGGATGTGTTGGTGTGGGTGGATGTGGGTGTGAGTGTGTGGGTATGGATATGAAAGAAGACTAAAACTACACCCACACCCTCAAGATGTTGATAAGAACTAAGCGAGTAATAATGAATATATGCGTTTCTTTCTTGTTCTATGCAATATTTAAGTTATTTGTACTGAACTGTATTTATACATCAGAGTCGTCTTGATTTTTTCTGGTCCTCTTAGAATGAAGAAGACTGTTGTCTAGGCAATCGAGAAATGTTTTCATTCCAACCGTATGTTTTTTTCTTTTCATGCCACACAATGCACACAAAATTGGTTATGCATGGTTATGTACTTGTTGCTGTCTACAAATTGATTCATCGTTATCATTTTTTTCATTATTTTGCGTCATCAATTATCAAGTACGTGATGGTTATATTTAGTTGGTTATCTTTGTTGCATTTTATTTACTGCCTACTATTTACAGAAGGATGAATAATTGCGCTGACTTATACCGTATGTTAGCGTTTTTTGCTTACCTTCTGATAGTAAATTCCAGAAATTGCGAATTTCTGTAAGATCTAAAATATTCAATTAACTTTATGAAATAAGTGTTAATACCAAAGAAATCAACCGACAGGACAAGTTCGTGGATGCTACTTTTGTCTATTCCAAATATATTTCTTGAAAATCAAGGTATTGCCTGTTGCTTATTTAGGATCGCTTTCGCTTGTCAGTAACAAATGACAAGAAGGTATATGGCGGCCACCCAAGAGACAAATAACTGATTTAAGTCACACGGAATCATTTAAGCTCACCAAAAAATCAATTAAAACCAATCATGCTATTTGACACGACTTTTCAAAATTTCAAAATAAAATCAACGTTAATACTTTAATTTGCTTAATATTTAAGCATTTTCAATACGATTAAATAAATTAGAGAAGATGTCGCATGTACACGCTGATTGAGAATTAATGTTGTATTTCCAGAAATCCATCTAATACGTTGTGATATATGTATAATAACTATATTTGATTCAATGCTATCGTAAAGAATCAAAAACTATTAGAAACTACCAGGAATTATTATAAATCACTACTGATGATCAATAATAACGTTAAAATCAAAGCTTTCGTTTTTATTGACTTAGAACTGTTGTATAGATTTCTTAAACTTTTAACGATTTCTAATATTTCTAGTAGAATAGAGACAAATGGATTTCTCCTAATCACAATCAAAGAAATCAATTAGTATCTGTTTGTCATAGAACAAAGAAAATTCTTACTTCCCTCTTCTCCATTAAATGTGGACTATTTGCTTGAATGGTTTTTAAATTTGGATGTAGGTATAGATGCCTTCTGTTCACGGTCCTACGTGAAAGAGAGATTTCATTGCAACTTTACCATCATCCAAAATCACTTTTCTGTTGCTCATTAAACTTTTTATATTAGAAATGACATGAAAAACCATGTTTAACGATGAATTTTGCAGGATTAAAAGTACTGTTTCCAATGTTGTATTAGTAGAAAAATTTACTTTTCGTTTTTATAAAAAAACAAAAACGATAGCTATTTCTAGAAGAGATTTGTCAATTTTTGTTCTAGAATTTAATCCATATAACTCAAATAACTAAGGGAAAAAAAGCTTTTCAAATTGCAAAAATGTTGCAAGAACTTTGTTAAAGATGTTTTATTTTTGACGTTTTCTCCGAGTTGACAATACGGTCTAAGAGAGAGTAACATTTTTTCAAAGAATTTTGCACTATTTAATTGTGCAATAATCGCGGTACAGTTTACAATGATGAAAATGTTTCGCTCAAAAAGAAAAAAAAAACGTCTTATTGTTTATTAAATAATCACAATTATAAAATCAATAAACTTGACTATACACATGACGAGATTATCTTCGATATTTTCGGAAAAGAGGATGAATAGGTTGTTTCGAACGAGAGCTTGCTGTTGTAGTCGACGTCTTTTTTATTTTCTTATCTTCATCTTGATTGGGTCCTGCGAGAGCTATTTTCAATAGTTGCTCTTGTTCATCTTTTGTTGAGAAATGGAGTTGATTCTGAGAGAAAAAGAATTCAAATTATTCTATCACATAACTAAGATTATAATACTTACTTCATTGATTACTATCTCTGAAATGATTTTATATGAATAACCTTGATCGATAAGAAAACTTTTTCGTTTAAGCTGATTGCGCATTTCAACTGTATCTTGTGACACGAGTGAGTAAAAAAAAGCATTGTTCTCGTCAGTGGAAGTATCTGAAAAACGAAAAATTTCATTTTTGTCTTTCAATAGGAAAAATAAAAGCTACTTTTTGCTCGTAAAATACGACCGAGTCGTTGTGCTTCTTGACGTCGTGAACGACCATGACTTGATATTTGAATGATCACATTTGCTTCAGGCAAATCAAACGATGTGTCTCCCACCTATCATACATTTATTCATGTACAATTTTGATTTTATTTAAAAAACAAAATTTACTCGAGAAATAAAAATAGTATTGATTCGTGGATTGCGTTGAAAATTTTGCAAAATTAAAATACGTTCACTTTGTGATACTTCTCCATAAATAATTGCTCTTTAATGAATAAATAAAATATATAAACTTAATAAAAGAATAAATATAACGTACTTAACAAGTTTTTGTGCATAGATTTGCAATGCAAATAGATCATCACAAAAAACAATAATCTTATCATTTCGTTGTTCATGATATTCAATTAAATATTGACAAATTCGAAACTTATTTGGATTTATAGCACTGAGTCTTCGTTTGATCACATCATTTGCAGCATTATTATATGCGAGCAAAAATTCAGATGTCATTGAACATTGAATCTTAGAAAGAGATTTGATTATGAAAAATTTTCAAATATGAATGTATTACTTCGCCACAATGAACTTTAGCAATGAATCCTAAATTTTGTAATTCGATCCAATTGGCTTCGTACAATTTAGGTCCAATTAAAAAATTAAGATCTGTAATTTTATCATCTTCACGAACGAGCGTCGCCGTAAGACCTAACTTGACATGAGCATGAATGAAGTTCAATATTTTTCGAAAGCTTGTAGCCGGAGCTGTGTGTACTTCATCGAGCAACATCAAACCTATTGGATAGAGTGAGCCTGAGAGACACAAAAAAAAATGAAATATGACGTCACAAACCCCACTCATGACTTGCAAGTAGTTTCATGATCTCACTCGTTTCAACACTACGTCCATCGATGGGTGCAATCATTTGATATGTACTGATGTAGATGCAGGTATCTAACGATGTCAAACAAAGTAATACAAGGTTTTAATTAGTACAACGAGAGTGATGCATTTTTCTCACGAGTTGGTTTGTTCTTGTTCTCTGCTGTGAGCAATCTTATTGTAGAATTATCTGCACTCGACCATTTCTCGAACTGTTCTTTCCATTGTTGTACAGAAACATTCGAATTACACACTACGAGACAACTCTTATTAATTTTACATGCAGCTGCAACACCAACTAATGATTTGCCAGCACCTGAAAAATAGATTCATCATGCAAAACATGAGATAATTAAGTTCAACATTTACCACAAGGAAGTACAATGACACCAGATCGAGCTCGTTCTAATAGGCATGCATTGATAGATTAACGAAATGAAAACAAAAAGTGCATTGAGTTTACCTTCGTCAAACATTTTTTGTAAACTCTCTTCTTGATAAGGTCTCAAAATGGTATTCGGAAGAAGTTTAATATTGAGATTTTTCAAATCTGTATCATGACGAAAGTCATATTCTTCAAGTAGTGAATAGTTCAACTCTTGACATCTGAATATTTGTAAAGTACAAAAGCAATTGTGTAAAAAAAGAAAAAGAACATGAAAAAATTACTGACCGTCTTCTTAACAATTCAATTTTGTCTGGAATGACTTCAAATGAATTACATATCGAAACTTCCAGATCTTCATCAACATCTTGATTGGTTGTTGATGAAGCATTAACAACAGTTTGAGGCTCTATTGAACTATTCGCTGCACTTGGAATGATGAGAGATGATTTCTAAGTAAACAAAAAAAGTGTTTATGTGTACTATATATTACTTTATTTTGTTACTGACTTGCATGAAAGTTGTGTTAATATTTTTGTCTGTAGAGATTAGTCGACATTGTTGAATTTGAGAATCTTGAAGAAGAATTCTGAGAACTTCCTGACAAAAAAAGAGAACAATCTCATATGATAATGTTCGAAAACTATCAACTGACATGAAAAGAACTTTGAACAAAGAAACGATTATGTTTCAATACTAATTGAACGTCTCCATAGTTTTGTGTATACAACTGTCAAACAAAGAATTTTTTTTTTTAATTCGATTGAACAATATACAATAAGAGAATACTTTGATGTAATCTATTATGCCACTTGGAATACTTGTTTTGCTGAATTCTTGTAAGCCTTCAATAATATATTGTGTTTTGAAACCAATCGACACAGCAGAATAGAGGGAATAGGCTGTCAGTTTATATTCATGAATATTTTCGAGACGACGGACCGGCTAGAAAGAAATTCATTATTTTACGGATTGAAAACAATTCATTAGTAGCGAAAAACAAATAAATTATATACCTCAGCAATTGAAATCAAAAAATCTACGATACGTTTGTTAATTGGCAAGAACAATTTGAAAAAGATATGACCATCTTAAAAAAAAAGAGAGAGATACTTAGCTCGTACAGTTGAGACAAGATATTGAACACATACTTGAAGTGATGTATAATGGACATTTTTCGTCCATAACATTCAGCTCCACATTCGAGCAAGAATCTCTAGACGAATCATCATCGCTGGATTCACAAGAAATCCATGAAGCTGTTGTTGAAACACATACTAAAATTCAAATTTCAAACGTATCAACATGAAAAATAAATCATTTTCTTTTAGCTTGAATAGAGTCAATTTTAAATGAAATATGTTATTTTTAATGACAAAATAAGAGATGATTTGAAGTTAGAATTTCACTATTCATACTTCAAAAATTATGAACAGATGCCTGTGACTCTAGTCGTTCTTATTGATTAACGAATAGTTTAGTGAATTTTAGTACTATGTAGGTCTCACAATTCCTAGAATATCAGTTTGTGTGAGAAGAAATTCTTCATTTTCAAATTAATATCCTTTTGGACAGAGCAACATATTTTATGAATTGATTTGCATAAAATATATTTTTTCAGAAAACTGAATTGATTGGAAACTAAAACATATGGCCTTTAAGTTACTTTTTTTTAGGAAACGTTTTAATGAAGAGAATAGCTTTTAGTCCCTAAAACTAATTCCTATTATGGCAATCTTGATTATGATTTCTTATTGAAGCAAAAAGATTGATTTCAACCATCGTTTTCTTTTCAAAGAATTTCATTTTGTTGTTGTCACTATTCTCATTTAGTGACGAATGAGGTTAATAACACTTAATTGTACTGAAAGTTATTGTTTAAGAATGTAAAGAACAAAGGCGTCTTGATTTTTCATCTATTATTTATTTATTTTTCTCAATTCCATGCAACCTGAAAAGATTCCTGAGTTTGTCATAGTTATTACTAGGAATCAACTAACTCTAAATCTTAAATTTAAATTCGAGAAGTGAATGAACTGTTCAAACAAAAACCTTTCTCATTGGTTTCTTGTTGTTCTTTGGTGATTTTTTTAGTCAATTTTGAATGTTGCTTCTTCGACTCTAAAACATTTCATAGAAAATTGCATAAAAGAAGAAATTTCCAATTTAGAGTTTATGATACCACACGATTTAGGTCGTTTGCTCATGATCTATGCCTTTCTTTCACTATTGTCTGAATATTGAAGTAAATGAACAAATTTGTAAATTCGTCGCTGACAAAAGAATGATACCAATGTGAATCAAATAGTATGTTCGCAGTAACGATACAAAGAAAAATAACTACAATTTTCTTTCTTCTCCTTTACGTTTAAGCACTTGACAAAAGACAAAATACCCGCATGTGTAATTTCGCAAAACATGGGTTTTTTGAGTTATATTGCGCAAACATGAGTCACAACATATATTTATGCGTCATATCGAATGGAAAAAACATAGGTAAATCTAAAAGCATGTATTGGATTATCGATTAACCAACGTACTATGAATATTTCTCTCAAAACCAACATCAAAATTGAGATGAAGAATTGTTGTTAATGGATATTGTCTTGCTTTAAATCAATTGATAGGTGTCACTGAATGCAAGTAAAATTTCAGCTTAGTCAGATATTTACATAATCGAATGAAATAACATTTTTTTGTTTTGTTACTACCACACGGTTTTAAATTATGAGTTTTTTTTTAAAATTTATCTTTTTGATTCAAACAAGCACTCAATCTGTATCATAGAAAGACTGATAAAGAAATCTAAGAGACTTTTCGTTTTATTGTTTTCATAAAATGTTTTCTAAAACCATAATTCTATTATTTCTTTTTGTAAGATAATTGATACTTCAGAGTATATTGTATGAATAATCAACAGGATGTGGGTGTGTGATGCTAGTCTTCCTTTCATTAAGACATCACACCCTCATTTTAAAAAAGTAATTGTTTTTTAGAATGATAAATTAAAAAAAGCACAAGATTTTCACAACACGACTTTCTTTTTCTTTCTCAGTTTAGACTAACGAGTGGAATATGTTTACATGTTTAAACCGTTCTACCAAAACTTTTAGTCACAAGCAGATCTAAATCAAATATGAAGAAGTTTTAAAGGATATATTTCCTCAAACTTTTTCTATCAAAGATATCAAGTTTTTAAGAAATTCTTTCTCTCTCGCTCTTTATGACGTAATATTGTAACAAAATCATAATTTCAAATTTGACGTTGAAACTTTGCTCTCATCAAGATCTTAACCAAGCTAGGTTCCGTATGAAATATCAGATTTTTTAAAGAAAATCTTTGTGGCATATGAATTTTCTACAATATTCATATTTTGTAGAATGTCTTTGGAGATGAACCTATATTTTAAAAAAATATCAATATCTGGCAAAATCATTTATTCAACATGTTCCAAAACGATTGAATTATTGATGTATTCCAATTCAAAGTAGATCATTGCTCATTCTTCAAAAACTTTAGCAATCATGATTACGAATACACTGCACCATTTTATAGCTTATCTATCAATAAATTGTCTCTTTGTTTTCTTTCCGTAGAAATCTATTAGAGAAAACTTTCATAAGGAAATTCTGCTATTCGCGAATAAGACTTTCCCATTATTGGTGAAATCTCACCAAAATTTTGCTAGGTGTTTGGCGAGAGTCTTGTGTACTTTCATCAATTGTTGCAGAACAATGTGACTGTACCCTATATGTAATAACTATACTAAATATTATGGAAAATGTATTTGAATGCTTGCGCTTATGAATGTAATTGATACAGATTATTCTAATTTATGTCTAAGAGACACACGAATTGGTGGATGTTTGCTAGATTATCGCTCATTAATAATATTACAAATAACGACAATATATGTCGTATTAAATAGTATTTTTCTTTAGAACTATGCATAAATACTATTGGCGTTTCTATATTTAACAAAAAGACAAAAGTTAATATTAATGAAAAAACAATAGATAATAAAACTTTGAAATTCCATTTCATATAATTTTAATCGAGCTCCTGAAATCGATTCTTTGGGCTGATGAGTAAGATTTTCAAAAAAAAAAAGAAAAACGTAGCACTTTGAAGTGATACTTGATTGTCATATTCTTTACATTTCATATATCTAAATATTGTTAAAGCGTCTTCTATTTAGCAAAAAAATGAATTAATCAAATTATACAAAAATATAAGAAGTGTTTATGTAAATTCATCCAGTGTTTTAGCTTCATGTCCAAATACAAATGTCTCTTATAATAATGTTGCCATTTTATGCATTTGTCAACGTTCCTATTATTTGAAAATTTTTTTTTTCATTTATTTCAATTTATTAGTTTTTATTACCAAAAAAAAAGCATTGGTATTTTTGTTATACATTTACAAATGACAACTTGTGCCAAGGAAAAAGAACGAGGATTTTGTCGAGCAAATAATCCTTTTATTTTAGATTTTCCATCAGGAGAACTTAGTATTAGGAAAAGTACTTAAGGTGGGTGTGGGTGTGGGTGTGGGTGAGTGTAGGTGTGGGTATGGATATGGGGTGTGGGTGTGTGTATGGATATAGGATGTGGGTATGGATATAGGATGTGTGATGTGGATGTAGATGTGGGTGTGAGTGAAGAAATGAACTACACCCACACCCACATTCAAATCAAAATCGAGTTGTAGAAAGCATAA